CCCCGGCCAGCCAGGGGTAGCACTCGCTGCTCGTAGGGGTGCTCCTGGCTGACTGCTGGCTGCTGGGCAGTAAATGGCTCACTTTTGGCAGACGTTGTGCACTGCCTGCTGCTTAATCAGCCAGGGGCAGAACCAGGGGCTAGAGAAGATGCCACCCTAGTTGCGGAACCGATACGTTTAATTGTGGCCTAAAACTGACACACACACACACACAATGATAGACATAGACAAGTCCGTTGTCTGGCTGAGTGAAGGCGACAATATATCCATCAATCTGAGCTCGCAGGATAACACGCTTGCCATCCTTGTCTATCCCTGTTGCTGTTGCTGTCGACCGCCCGCTGTGACTTTCACAAAATATTTTGGTTGTACGCAGTGCGGATTCGTGCAATTATGGGCCTGTTTGTGGACAATGTGTGTCGAATGCTGAGCGACATGAACCGGGCCACAGCACACATCCTGGCCACCGCCATGTATCCTGCGGCGAGCTGTTGCCAAAACACAGCCAACATGGCCGAGTCGAGCAACAAGTTCTATGGTTGACCAGAAGATAAGACCCGAAAGGAAAAAAAACGAAAATAAAGGAAACGAAAAAGGAAAACAGAATCTCGCTGCGATTGCTGGCCAACCCACCACACACTGGCCAGGACAGAGCCGCAGGCTGTCCCAGATATTGAAATATCTGCGGGGACGGGGTCGAGGCGTGGCAGGAGGGCGCGTCCCGTATACTTGTGCTGCCACCTAGGACGCCACAGCTGAGACGCAATGCAATGTAGACATCACTACTTGCCCCTTGCCAATAATACCTTTCCATTTTGCATGCCACATTTGCCAGTTGACAGTTGACAGTTGACAGTCGACAGTTGGCCCAAAATCAATTGTACATGGCCATAATGGCCAATGTCATCAGAGAAAATAACAATAACAAACAAAAATTGTGTAGAAAATTGAAGCAGCAAATGAGCCAGCAGCTGGACCAATCAAGCAGCAGAGTTTCGGGCAACCCCTAAAGGCAAGAGAAACCTCAATTAAAGACAAACTCCAGATAGCCATCGAGGCACTGCACAGTTCCTGGTAATGCGCGTGCTAATGGCAATGCAATGGAATGCAGTTGCTAGTTCTAGATCTCTCGCACAATTGCCAATTGTCGATTGTCTAGATCTTCGCATTTGGCACGTTCCTAACCACTGTGCCTTCGCTATTCAGTGGACGACGCACTTCTATAGAACTGGCAAGCACGACGACCACACCCAAAAATAAATAATGCCCGTATAGCAACATCGGCATCAACATCAACGACATCAAATTCAAAAGTTATCGTAAATTAAGAGATCTGACAGTTTGAAGCTGTACCAGTTGCCTTATAGGGTCTTAGTCTCTGGCTAAATTGGAATCTTGTAAATTAATAGACGCCTCAAATATGAGAAGCGATTTGAGTTATGAATTTGCCTAATTCAAATCGCTTCATTGCTGACAGCATCTCAAAATTTCAGCTGCTGCGAGGTGGGTGAGAAACAGAGACTGAAAATTATATTGGAATAACTTTTAATTGGGCAAAGTTTTTGTTTTTGAATTATTATTTGCATACATAAATAAATATAAAATTCAAAAATATTTAGAGGAAACCTGCCGAGCAATAACAATAAATTTATTACATATTTTCTATTTATATTGGAGCTACCAAGAAAACAAAAAATTGATTACACAATGAACTATGTATGGCCCAAAAGTAAAGTATATCGAATAATAGGTTGCCTAATGCTCAAAATGATCAGAAAATTAAATTTTAGAAAAATAACGGTAAACATTTGCCGCACCCAAAAATATTCCACTTTGCTAAAAGAACGATAAATATGTATGTAGAAAATACGTATATGTTATTTGAATATATTTGGGCTCTATTATGAATACCCCATTTAGTATACTGGGTTTTTCTTAAAAGTTTCTTTTATTTTATTAATACTCAGCCGTATCCTTCTGCATTAATATTTTCAATATACATATTTACTAACTATATATATTTTTAAATATCACAGATATGTGAAACAAATTCCTTATGTATTGCCTGAAATATCATAGTCATATCATACTCAGTCTTTATATATTGTCATAATACTTACATCACACAGTAACTATAAATACAAAAAAAAAAAAAAAACCCCAAAAGAAATAGCTAAATTGAAAACCCAACTTTTGGCAAAGTACGTCAGATGTTTTGCCAAGAAATTCGTCGTATTCCAGTTAAGATAAACAAATAAGGTTTAGTTTATACAATTACGCATAATTCATATATTTTGCGATAGCTTTTGTCTTTATCATACATAGACATATCATATACATATCTTTATACAGATATACGCACATCTAGAGCTAGACTAAGATAATGAGATCGCTGATTCTTTGTGTGTAGAACTCGTGTTTGTGTCATTGGGGCAAAAAGTATAACACTTAACTAAAATTAACAAACATTCAATTGATTTATATATGTATATATATCTATATAGGTATATATATGTTCTTGTATTTAAATGCATTAAAATTAAAATAAAATAACAAATTATGATTGCAATTGTAATTATAATTGTACAGTCTTTGAATGACCGATGAAGGTCTGAGGTTTTCTCTGGGAATTGGTATTGGTGCGTTATAAACAGAATGCGTCTACTACTGGCTATAAGGTACATACGATAATATAACTATATATATATATAGTAAATGGATAGGGACTTAAGATTAAAGTACAGTGGAGCAAAAGCGATATCTAATGCCATATATATTTTGGAATTGTTCTGTTTCGCAATACTTTTTACTAAGTTTCCATTTGATTTGTGTCTAGTTTGTCTTCCTTTGGCTTTTTGCAGTTTGTAGCGCCAATGCGACAGCTATATAGCATCGGGTCTATATGGAAAGTCGATTGGGCTAGTTGTGACTGGTTGAGTTCCTGGGCTCCAGGAACTGCCTGTGCTTCACTGGGGCAACGGCGGCGGCGACGATGACGGCGGCTGTGTGGGCGAGTAGGTGAGCTGGGGGCGTAACCTGCGACTCGAACTCAAAGTGGGCGGCGCTGAAGCTGGAGCTGGTTCTGTAGCTGTAGCTGAAGCCGAAGCTGCGCTGACTGCTACTCCGGGCCAGGCACTTCCCATGCCTGGCGGCGCTCAGCATTCTGGATGCGGCTGCATCCTGAACATAAAACCAATAAATTGCGATCAGCTGACCAATCTATCTGCTCATGATCTCATCGATGGTGAAGCCCAGCGTGCGCTTCGGACGCTCCGCCGTAGCTCCACCAGACGAGGACAGATCCAAAGCAGGCGTATTGTGATTGGAGCCGGGACTGACCAGCTGCACAGGCTGCACAGCAGCGCTCAGTGGCTGGCTGGGGCGAGGAGCTGCTGCTCCTGCTGTTGCAGCAGCTGCTGCTGCCTGAGCCGCTGTGGCCGATTCGCTGTGACTCTGCAGATGACTCTTGAGATTCGCACGCTGGTTGAAGCTGCGCTGGCAGATAGGGCACTTGTGGGGGCCCTCCTCCAGGTGGGTGACCTTGTGCACGGCCAGCGTGCGCGACTGGCAGAAGCCCTTGCCGCAGTCGTTGCACTTGAAGGGCTTCTCCTTCGAGTGGATGTAGCGATGATCGCGCAGATGATCCTGGCGCCTGAAGGCCTTGCCGCAGATGTCGCAGGAATAGGGACGCTCGTCCGTGTGGGTGCGTTCGTGGATGAGCAGATTGTAGGACTTGGTGAACTGGCGATTGCAGTACTTGCAGATGAACTGCTTCTTGGGCCGGCTGCTCCCACTGCCGCCTCCGGCTCCGGCTGCAGCGGCGCCGCTCAGCTTCAAACTGGGCATGACTCCAAAATGGCGAGCGGCGGCATGCAGCGTATGCAGTCCGGCGGGATAGGGGCGCACATGGGGATGGCCATGGGCATGGGGATGGCCGTGATGGTGTGGATGATGGGGATGTGGGTGCGGGTGCGGGTGGTGATGATGCCCAGCTGCAGCAGCTGCTGCCTGTTGTTGCTGCTGCTGCTGGTAGAGGGCGGCATTGCGTATCCATTGGTTCATAAGCAACGCCTGCTGGTGCACGGCCACGGGATCGGCATTGGCTCCAGCATAAACCGGATAATGGCCATGTGGATGCTGCTGTTGCATCTGCAGCCAGAGGCGATGATGTTGCTGATGCTGCTGCTGCTGGTGTTGCTGATGTTGCTGTTGATGCTGCTGTTGCTGTTGTTGCTGGTAGTGCGCCATGTGTCGCAAATGTAGCTGCGTGGCCACTGCCTCATCGACGGCTGTGACTGAGCCAGTGCGTCGCAGCGGCTCCTCGGTGGGCGTGTGTGGTGGCGTCAACATTGGTGACAGGCTGCTTTCGCGCTCCTCTTTGATAACTATGAAATCGTCCTCGACAAAGTCTGAAGATTGCACAAGAAAAAAGAAACGAAATATTGTGATTTAGTTCAATTGTTCTAAAAACTGTGCTAAATATCAAGCATTTTAGCTCGCTTAACTCGCGCTTTGAGTAGGAGAGCAAAAAGCACTTTTGAGCTCTCTCCCTTTCGCACTGCTTTGCCGTCGGCTTTTTCTCGTGCCTACCTTGTTCTCTGCTTATGTTAAGCTCGTCGTCCACGGTTATGTTGCTGATGGGCGAAGCTGAAGTGGAAGACATATTCCCTTTTTGTGTCTTCGTTAAAGTTTGTTGTTCTTAGTTTGTGTCTTTGTGTTGTTAGCACTTGTTTTTTTGCTTGTTCTTTTCTTGTTCACACTGTCACTTTGCACTAACTGTAATATTTGTTCTTTTTGCTTTGGTCTCTGGGTTTTACGTCTTTTTCAATTGTTGTTTTCTGTTTGCTGTTATGCGCTCTTCTCTTTGATGCGACGTGCCCACGACAACGTCTCAACTCAAACTGAATTCTGCTTTCGTTTTGTTACTCTCCGACTCAAACTCGTGAAAATATTCGACGACTCAAAGAGTATATCAAGTGCGCTCTTGCCCTCTCGCTCTCACTTATCCACTCTGTTCAACTGATAGCGTGTATGCGTGCGTGTGTATGTGCTTGTGTGTGTGCATTGAGTGAAGTGACTTCTGCTGTGGCTGCTGCTGCTGCTTCTGCTGCTGTGGCTGCTGCTGCTGTTGCTGTAGCTGTGAGTAGCGCTCGTTAATAACTGAATGCAACTGCGGCGTCGTCGACCGGTTTTGAAGCGAACCAACAGCAGCTGCCTTTTTGCCGTCGTCGTCGCTCGCTGTTGTTATTGTTGTTGTCGGGGTTGAATTTATTTGGAAATGGCAGATACGTACACGCCTACCTGCTGCCCAACGAAGCGCTCCGATTGGCTGATGCCAACTACCAGCGGCTGCCGTATCTGTTTCGGGTCTTTGTTTTTGTTTTTGTATGCTGTATTGTGTGCTTGTGTGTGCTTGTGTGCGCTCTGCGCGCGTGTTCGGCATCGTACAGGGACGACTCCACGACCCAGCCACTCGGCAGCATCGCCTCTCGTTCTCCCGTTCTCTGGCCGTGCTGCATGATGCTTGCTGCTCACTGGCAGTCAGCAAGCGGAAACTGTTGGGCTGATGGTCGGACGCCGCTGTCGGCTGCCGTAGCTGCCGATGCTGCTGCTGCTGCTTCTGCTGCTGCTGCTGGCAGGCAGCCATCAGCCCGGAGACGACCCGCATCCCACCCAGGCGCATGCCCCGGCCAGCTGGCCCTGTATATCCTGCTCCTGCTGCTGCCGGTTGCTGATGCTGCCGGTTGCTGATGCTGCCGTTGTTGCTCGTGCGGCTTTTTGCCTCGCCCCAGGATATTGTAATCTATTGTCCTTCTTCTTCTGCTCCTTTTTTGTTTTTGCATGTGCGTGTGCCTGATTCGTTTTCATTTAAATTTTAATTTGCCACACAAAATCGGAAATCTCTTTTTTGACTGCCTCCCACGTTTAACACATTCGCAGGAAAATTAAATTAGCCAGATCAAAGCAATTGTTGTCTAAACTCATTTTTCGCTCGGGGTGTACGCGTTTCCTCCTCATTTATTCTGAATTTCCGTATGATATTACAAAGACGAGTTTTCAAAAAAGTACACAAATTACATTTGGAAGTCCGTTTCAACAGCAAATTAATTAAATTTATTGTTGATTTAAAAAAAATTAAAATTAAAAATACTATTTAAATACACGAATAATATATATTATTATTAAAAATATACTTAAATTAACTAGTCAAGCTAATTGCGCCTTCCGTTGCCCATTGCCAATTGCTTGTAATGAGTTTGACATTTGAGGCGCTTTAAACATTTCATTTAAAACCTGTACAAAAAAAAATAAAAATAAAAAACTGTCTGTAAAATATGTTTATAGCTAATTGAATTGACTGCGAGTCAAGTAGCGGCACTTTATCGTTTCCGTACAACGGCGAGAAGGAAGGAAAGTCATTTACTCAATTTTCTATAATTTTCCTCTTCTTTTCAGCTGCGGCTATTGCCAATAATAATGTCAATTTGTCAGTAGATAATGATTATTTAATGCGGTAAATTGATGCACACAGATTTGCTGTCATGCTTAAACTTGCCATAGCAAATTGCTAAACCCGAAGCAGTGAAGTTCATGTGGAGCGCGTTGTAAGAGAACAAAATTGAAAAAGTATGATATTTACAAAAATTGCACTAAATTGAACTCAAGTTGTGTAAATGTATATTTACAACATAAACAAAAATAATTCAAAAATAGTAAGCTTAAAAATAAATTTATGTACTATTTAACAATTTAACGTAAAATATAAATATAAATGAAATTCAGCTACAAAACATAAGCATCTATTTATCTTTTATTTTATTTTATTTTTTTTGGTTCTGTACAGAATATTTGTTTTTTAATTATATGTTTTTCTCTACCAAATATAAAATTATAAAATGAAAATGATTTTATTGAAATTTAATATATGTTTATTTCTGAGTCATAGAAAGAAAACTTGACCATTTTTATTATTGAATGTTAGAATAATGCTATATTAGAAAGCCTTTTAAAATTACCGATGGGTTTTAATTGCATTTAGGACTTTCAATCTCAATCAAGCAAATAATATAATTTCAACTTTAACAATTAAAGGTCTGTTCACTGTTTGTTGTTATCGAAAGTGATTTTGCTTTCGGCGGATACTTGAAATCGGGAACACATTTTATTAGGCTTATCAGCAAGGCAGAAAGTAAAATAAAGTAATTTCCAGCTATAAACTATACAAATGTTAAAAAGAAATACTAATACTATATAAATGTATGAATATATATACATACCATAGAAAGATAACAAATTTCTTGGGTTTTGATTTGACAGCAGTAGAGAAGCAAGACAACGGCAAAATAATTCTTTTTCTAGGAGATTGCGAAAGGAGACATAATATAAAACAGATAAAACATATTATGTTAAGAAATATAAAATGGAAAATAGACTAATTTAATCAGAATTACAATATACACTGCATTCAATTTGTATTGAACATAGAACATTTTCGGCTTTGCAAAAAAATTAAGATTATAATATGCATTTTTATAAAATATTTAATATTAAATATATAAATTATTTTCGTAATCTAATCGTCTATCCCGATTTTGTTTGCCTATTTTCTTTTGGCAATTATTGTATAATAAATTCCCCAGTTTTCAATTCCTTTCGATTCCCCTCATCCATAGCTAAACTTCTGTTGGCCACATTCAATGATTTTCGTGGTTTTACCGCACATTAATGCAATCAGCAAATCCATCAATTAACTAATAGTTTTCCCAGCGGATATTAGCTCTGGCTCTAAGCCAAATCCAAGCACCGGCTAAGTCCGGGTCACGTCAACAGAGACTTGCCTGTGCCCAGCTTAGTGGCACACTTTTCCTGCTCTCCCCGGCTGGACTTATGGGAAGGAGTCACTACTGTGCCGCGGCAAGCCAATTACAAAATATTTACTCAACAATTTTTCGTCAATTTTCCCAATTCTCTAAGACAACAGGCGAGTCAAATGCAAAGTCAACTGACTAAATCAAATATCCTGGCTAAGCAAAAAAAAAAAATTCTCAAAAATTCCCAATTTCACATATGTGTGTGTCTCCGTGTGCTGTTGCTGTTGTTTCTTTTGGCTAGCAGCTTTCTTGTGGCAACTGGCAAACGCCGCCGTGTTGACACTTGACAAACAGTCGGCGAACTTTTCCATTTCAAAGTGCTTCCCACAGCCAATCGGAGTGCACGCGCAGTAATTAACATCATGTCATAAGTGTACAAAAAATACAACAACAACAACAACAACAAAAGAAAATAAATAATAATAATAGATAAAAACACAAACACAGCTCGCACTGAGTCAGATGAAAGACCCAGGCCGAATATTTCCCAGCGCACACACATACACACACGCACACAGCTTTGATATATGGCAACAACTGTCAACTTCCTGTGAGCAGACGACACATGTAGAAAGGATTAACTTGACACACACACACATGCACATACATCTGCTGTTGTTTATTTGCATAAGCATCGAGTCGAACACGGAAACGGAAATTGTCCGCCTTGACTTGATCATAAAAAGAGCAGCAAGACAGAGAGAGAGAGAGAGAGAGAGAGCAAAAGAGACCTGGTCCAGGACCTGGCCAAGGATGCACTAATAAAGAAGTCATTAGGCCATAAAACCATAAAAACGAGCCAAAAAGCAAAGCAGGCAACAGAAACGGCAATTGCTCGACATTAGTAGCTCGGGCTGCCTGCGCTCTGGGTTTTTGGGCGCACAAAAAATGTAGAGCATAAAAAATATAACAACGAGAGCAGCGCAGCAGCAAAAAAAAAAAAAAACAAACACAAATAAAAATAAAACAAAATCATCATAAAACACACAGATTTGACAATTCACTTGGCTTTTTGGCCTTTGCTGCTGCTGCTTCCTTCTCCTCCTCCTCCTCCTCCTCCTCTGCATTTTTTGTACCATAAAAACTGTCTTCGCAGAAGACCCTTGACCTTAGCTATCGTTGGCCTGGTTTTTAGCAACATTTGCGACAAACAATTTCATTATCCAACTGCCTCGTTTACGATTTCATTTGTTTTTTGCCATTTCGGCGAACAAAATTAGATTTTTTAGTGCAAAGTCGCGTTTGTCACCCAAAAACATTTCACGGCCCAACGCATTTCATTTGGTTTTTTTTTTTTTTTTCGTAACTTTCAGATATTGATGTTTTTTCACACTAAAAATGTCAGTTCTTTTATTTTATTTTTATTTTTTTTTTTGAACTTATTTTGTGCCCTGTTTTGGCTGTGTTTTTAGAGCACTTGAAATGGCCTTCAAATAATTCTTTGAAGTTTCCAAATAGCTCAATAAAAAAATGTTGATCTTCTTTTTTTTTTTTTTTTTTGTGGAACAAAGAGACAATAATTAAATATGTATGAAAAAAAAATGTAATAAAAATGTAAAATAATGAAAGAAAACACATACATATAGAAAAGAAAATACATACTTGTTATACATATGTATGCATTCATATATGTATGTATATATCCAAAAGTCAAATAGTTCCCGTAGTTGCCAGAAAAATCAAAATCACAATAAATCATATCATGTACATACATACATATATGTATTTACTAAATGTAAGTTGGAAAATTTACTCAATATATATATACATAAATATATTTTTTTTCTTACGTCAAAAATTTACATTTTTATTCAAATAAACTAATAAGCATAAGGCGCAGACAAAATCAAAACTGAATTTTTGTGCATCCAGAGAGAAAAGAATTACGTATTATGATTAAGTTGATGTTTTTGATTAGGCATAAGCTAAAAACTAATTTAAATACATTTTCTCAAATTTAAATTAAAGAAAAATGAAATATGGATGAATTAAAACGAATTAAAATAAATTGAAGAAAATAAAAATGAATGAATCAATTGCCAGAGCGGTTCCAATCATTAAATTTAATGTGCTTAAGATGCAATAGATATTTGACTATTTAATATTTGTCATCAAATTAAAGCGGAAACAAGAAGGATCACAAAAGAAGCAGACAACAATTTAAATGCCAGCCGAGGCCTCTACTCCATTCCATACTCCTGCACATGCTTTTGCATAGACTTTAACTACTTAGAACAGCAAATGCTCTATTCGAGCTCTAACTCATATTTCAAGGCAAAGTCAAAAGCAATTTGGCCAAACGCAAAGAAAATGTAAACAAACAATCAAAATAAACACATGACGATGCTTCCAATGAAAAGTGGAAAATGTGATTTTTCAGCGATGGCAAAAAGTCGCGAAAAGTAAAAGTCGAAAAATTGTCGCAGGCCTTGAGCTGAAATGGATTTCATAATTAGGTAAATATGCGCGAAATGCACTTTTATTGCGAAGGGGATGTGCCCGGGCAGAAGTCAAGGCTAGACGGTTGCAGTTCTTTGCATTGTCTCGATTCGCATTGCTTGCGAAAATTATCTAAACACACCATAAACGCGTCACGCCCGCGACTCGCCATATCGACAATAAATATACATATATATGTATATAGCATATTGCAATGGCAATAAAGGTACCAAGGCCATAGTTGGGCAACGAGCCGACCAGAAACCAAAACACCAAATTGCCAAAAGGCCAAAAAGGGGTGTACCCTTTACCAGCGTAATTAAAAGGGGTTGGCCCAGGTACATCGAGTCCGAGTCCGGAGTCGGATACCTTGCGCGCCTTCCCAGCCCAAAATCGTGGGCAAAGATGCGCTCTCATTGTGTGCGCGCCTTGTGGTGGGCGCGACGCACTTTTACTCCTTGCAGTTACCTGGAAAATGGCAAAGGTGTAGCTGCTGAGGATTAGCTGCACTGAGCTCTAGCTGTATGTACGTGCGTGTCTGTGTGTGTATGTGTGTGTGTGTGTGTGTGTATCTCTGACTTGTCATTGCTGCTTGGCCGTAGCGAAAGGCTGCAGCAAAGGGTTGCATTTATTTGGCAAAATAATTAGATTGATCCTCGGCTGAGCAGCAACGATTACTGGTCAAATTAGCGCTGCAGCAGGCTCCTCCCTTGCCACCGCCCGTGACAGCGGCTACTTAATGCAACGTCCGCTTATCGGCCGCCTGTGTGTGTGGCCATAAAATTGCGCCGTCTGCGATAAGCCGCAACAACAAAAATGTCGCAAAATCTAATAAAAATAAACACGCAGACAGAGTTCAGGTGAGTCGTGAGAGCGGGGCGGGGGGAGCTGTCAACAAGAACAACAACAGCGAGAGCTTTTTTTATGATCTGCTTGACTTTGATTTTAGCCGCCGCGCTTGTCATAAACTGCGGCGACTTTCATATTTTGCCGGCTGTTGATTTTCATATTTCTTTAACAGTGCGCCCCCTCGCCCCTTCGCTCTGTCATTCCTTTTATTTGCGCTTGTGATTTGGCAATATGGCGGCGGCGGCAGCAGCAATGGCGGCAGCAACAAAAAGCCAATCAAAATACGCACCAACCCCAGTGCTCAGCCCCCATCCTCCGCACTACCCCACTACCAGACGCACCGCTCTGCAGACACAATGGCCCAATAGGCCGCCCCCCCTCGAGGCGCAACGAGGCTTTGATTAATGCGTGCGCCTTTTGACCAGAGGCCTAATTGATTTGGCCAAGCGCAACTCTGGTTTGGCTCAGCTATTTTGAATGCTTTTCAATTAACTCGAAAAGGGTAACAAGAAAATAACAAAACGCAACTCCCGTTGCGCGCCTGATCCATTGATCTCTAATTAAAGCGCTATTAATGATACGCCCACCCATCGCTAGCCGGGGCACTGCTCACTCGCCGCTGTCGCTGGTGCCCCGATGATATCGCTTACAGCACTAATCAGCACCAGAAATCCAATCCAAGTGTGTAATTAATAATGCTCCGTTTGGGTTTCCAGCGAACGCCGCTTGTAAAGTATTCAAATTACGCAGACGAAAAGTGTGAAAATGCGTTTTCTCCACTGACAGCGACGAGGCCCGTTGGCCGAGGGCAGCCATAACATTCGTTGATTTATGACTGCAAACATGTGCGACCCACCAGATCCTTTGGCGCATCCTTCAGCGCCACTTCAGTCGCATTCCAGGCACCCTCTCTCCCTCTCCCCCTCCCTCACTCTCGCTCTAGCTCTCTTAGCGGAGTGTCGAGTACAAGTGGGTCGGACCGTGGCCACGATCCAATTACATGCTATGCTGGTTTATTTGGTCACTTGCACTCGGTGTGTTTACAGTGCGCGGCTCGTCATAAATTACGCAATGCTTCAACTCGCAACTCCTCCCACGACAAACACCAACAACAACAACAACAACAACAGCAGTTGACGTAATCTGATGCCCAAATCCTTTGTCGATAACGATTCTGGAAAACTCTTGCACTTTGTTTACATGCGAGCCATGAGACTAAGTGTCGCGTCCTAAATTTTCCCAAATAAAAAACAAAAATCAAATCAAAACTTTTCACTCCAGTGGAAGCTGCCCAAAGTCTACTGAGAAGACTTTAGCTCTCAGTGCACTTGGGTGGTCCAGCGAACAGGCTCTCTCAAGTGGCCCGGGTCACATTTTGCAGTTGCACTTTTACGACTAACTACTTACTAAACATCCATACTTAGAGCTAATGTGCATTTCGGGGAAACATTAGCAGCGATAGCAGCTAAACGGTAGTTCCACAACGCTTCGATGCTCGAGTGGTTTCCCGTTGATTTCCTACTGAAGGATACTCTGCTCACATCTTGAGATTGTTTGGTTTCGTTTTGACACGATTTGGGTTTCACAAAATGCAACAACCGAGGAAGAAGCAGAAGAGCTCTAGAGCTAGACATATGGACTAGACTGTGTGTGAAATCAGCTCAGTTCAGATTTCATCTAAAAATGAAAACATCAACACCTGTAACGGCTATAAATGTGGTTACCTTCTTTCTAAGCTAAGTCAAAGAGACATTTATTTTGGAGGAACCCATAGCAAACACTGTGATTTAAATGTATTCATCTGGATTCATTAATCAGCGCTGCTCATGCTGTCTTCACTGTTGTCAAAAGTCAGAAGTCAGAGTCCCCTAGTTTCCTAGCGGTGTTTCTCATAGTTAATGATCCGTATTTGTTGTCTTTTAAAGTTCTGTTTAGAATCTAAAGTAGGTGAATCAAATGTAATCACTTTGCATCGGCTAAGCTCTGATTCCTTGATAGTTAAAATGGATATCAATAGACTTACTGTATACACTTAATATACCATAACCAACTCCATATAAAAGATTGATTGATTCTGTCACGCATGTGCCAAGCCAGAATATACAAATGTATGTGCAGACCGTGATATATGAAGTTAGACTAGGGCCAAATTGGGTTTCCTCGCCGTGACAATAATACACCAACGTTTTATGCAGAATATAACAAGCCAAAGACCCCATATTACTAACTAAAGTTCGTTTTGCTTTTTTATATTAATTGTAAGCTCTAATAAATAAATGCAATCTGAACTACCAATCTACCAAGGTACCGATGAAATTTCTAAAAAAAAGCATCTTTGCACGCTAATCTTATTATTAAATATCTATATCTTATATTCCATTTAAATTTTGTTTAAAATATTATTAAATACTTATAACGGTACATTTTTATCGTCCAACACTAAGTTCTAAATCGCCCTATTATTTTCATGGCATATACGTTATATATAGGCTGACAACTGTAAGCGGAATTAAGTTATTAAAGGGAAAGCATTGCGAAACCTTTCGTTTGAGTTCCAGTCACGTATTAATCATTGATATAAGCTATAATCACATGTCGCACTTTTCCCTCATTCTAATTTCGCTTTCTGCTGACACCAGGTGAAGGGAGTCCCACACGTAACAGAATGAGGAAGATTGATTTGCTAATGTTGGGTCTGCTATCAATAGTTCTGCTAACTGGTTTCACCAGTGCAAAAGATGGCTGTGAGTAAAATCAAGTTAATCAACATTATGAGCGACTCAAATGCCAAATTCTGTAGTCAAGTGCTTTAGAAAAAAATACCCGGGTAAAACGTGCAGAACACCCCAAACCCGCTACTACTACGATTTAGCTGAAAACCTGTGCCATACGTTCAAGTGGGGCGGTTGCGCAGATCCTGATAATGCCAAGTCCGTGAATCGTTTTCTGACTAAGAAAGAGTGTGAGAAGCAGTGTAGAATGTATCATGCGCATGAAATCAGTATGTTATTTAAATAAACCAATCCAATCAGTACTACGATGCAAAGAATAATTTGTGTTAAGCCTAGTTTCCTGATATACAAGAGACATTTATTTTGGAGGAACCCATAGCAAACACTGTGATTTAAATGTATTCATCTGGATTCATTAATCAGCGCTGCTCATGCTGTCTTCACTGTTGTCAAAAGTCAGAAGTCAGAATCCCCTAGTTTCCTAGCGGTGTTTCTCATAGTTAATGATCCGTATTTGTTGTCTTTTAAAGTTCTGTTTAGAATCTAAAGCAGGTGAATCAACTGTAATCACTTTGCATCGGCTAAGCTCTGATTCCTTGATAGTTAAAATGGATATCAATAGACTTATTGTATATACTTAATATACCATAACCAACTCCATATAAAAGATTGATTGATTCTGTCACGCATGTGCCAAGCCAGAATATACAAATGTATGTGCAGACCGTGATATATGAAGTTAGACTGGGGCCAAATTGGGTTTCCTCGCCGTGACAATAATTACACCAACGTTTTAAGTTTATGCAGAATATAACAAGCCAAAGACCCCATATTACTAACTAAAGTTCGTTTTGCTTTTTTATATTAATTGTAAGCTCTAATAAATAAATGCAATCTGAACTACCGATCTACCAAGGTACCGATGAAATTTCTAAAAAAAAAAAACATCTTTGCACGCTAATCTTATTATTAAATATCTATATCTTATATTCCATTTAAATTTTGTTTAAAATATTATTAAATACTTATAACGGTACATTTTTGTCGTCCAACACTAAGTTCTCAATCGCCCGATTATTTTCATGGCATATACGTTATATATAGGCTGACAACTGTAAGCGGAATTAAGTTATTAAAGGGAAAGCATTGCGAAACCTTTCGTTTGAGTTCCAGTCACGTATTAATCATTGATATAAGCTATAATCACATGTCGCACTTTTCCCTCATTCTAATTTCGCTTTCTGCTGACACCAGGTGAAGGGAGTCCCACACGTAACAGAATGAGGAAGATTGATTTGCTAATGTTGGGTCTGCTATCAATAGTTCTGCTAACTGGTTTCACCAGTGCAAAAGATGGCTGTGAGTAAAATCAAGTTAATCAACATTATGAGCGATTCAAATGCCAAATTCTGTAGTCAAATGCTATAAAAAAAAATACCCGGGTAAAACGTGCAGAACACCCCAAACCCGCTACTACTACGATTTAGCTGAAAACCTGTGCCATACGTTCAAGTGGGGCGGTTGCGCAGATCCTGATAATGCCAAGTCCGTGAATCGTTTTCTGACTAAGGAAGAGTGTGAGAAGCAGTGTAAAATGTATCAAGCGCATGAAGTCAGTATTTAAATAAACCAATCCAATCAGTGCTACGATGCAAAGATTAATTTGTGTTAAGCCTAGTTTCCTGATATCGTTGCTTCAATCTGGAATTTTTCGAATTTTCCAACAAAAATAATACAAAAATAACACTAAATTTACTAAATGAAACCATAATTTGTAAATGCAAGCTTAAGAGTTATTCAATTAATAAATAACAATATTACTAATTATTATTATTAGTTATTCAATATATTATAATAAAAATCATAAGATTTCATGAATTTTTATTGTATTTTTTCAGCAGTATCTTAAATTAAAGATGACAAATCAATAAAATACAAATATCTCTATAAGACAATAAATCAAAAACATTATTTTTTACATAAGGGAGGGATTTGTTATGTAACAAAAGGTTTCTTTAAAAAATGTAATCATTTGTTAATAATTGAAAACTTAATTTGATTGATTGATTGATTTGATTTAACTAGTTTGCATGAGATGTGTCGAGCTTCTCTAAAAGTAGAGCTTATGCATTGATACAAATTAATTATCAATGACATAATAGCTGTAATTACATCCAAGTCAGAGATGAAGTTTAATTTCTAACTCTCTATTCATAACTTTTTATTCTACTCCTTCGAAACATTCCTGGAAATTTTCAAAATATTTATGTATAATAGATGAAAGTCTCTTTCTTCCACTTGGTGATTTCAAAACTCGTTCGCCAATTCCTCTGCAAATCGCTCAATTTGCTCGAATGTGCAACTAATCGAGGTACCTTGCTTGGTTAACCCAACATTTGATGTTTGTCACCTTCGGCCGCGCTGTTGGCTATCTGAGGAAATTGCGCCTGCTGCTAAATGTCGATGGAAATAATTATCTGTTTGGCAAATAGGCTGGACAGCTTCATCAGCAATCTGTTGGCAATTGTTGGCAACGGCCAAGCAATGGCCCTCAACAACAGCAACAGCAACAGCAAGAGCAACTCCTATGTATATCCAATTGCAATTACGCGTATCCTTGAGTTACGAATACGCCGGAGGGGGCACGAGGTTAGCCCAAGCAGCCAGAATTGCTGGGTTTTTGCCAGGCGAGCGAAGCGAATGGGAAACGCACAGCTCTCGGCGTTGGTTCGGCCAGAGATTTGAAGTGGAATCTGCACGGGCCTAATGTTGTGATTAGCATCTGCGTTGACAAACACAGTGAGCGGTCCCAAGGCGAGCGAGGCGACGGCATTGCCTTGGACCAAGCTGCCCCCCACCCAAGATGAATAATTATAGCTGATCTTTATGCGCTTGCCGGCTCCTTGCTGCGACCGTTAATGGGCTACAGTTGATGCCAGAGCGAACTGGGACTGGAACTGAGACTGGGACTGAGACTGTGACAGAGACTGGAGAGCTCCGGCTTTACCTGCAGCGTTTTGGCATTCCGAAAATTCCATTTTTCCTTCAATTGATGCGCTCAGTGAGTCGTCGCATTGTTAGACAAAACGAATTCACGCGTATTCCGCCGAAACTCGCTAATGGTCACAGCGTTCGCAGCATCGCAGCATCGATGCATCGAAGCATCTCGCCTTCACCTTGGTCTCCGCCTGTGTTATTAATGATGGAAATTTGAAAATACAGAAGGTTCAATAATTGCAACATCATTGTGAGCGATGAGCGATGCCTTCGCACCAAACAGAGACAGGCCAGACGGAGAGAGAGAGAGAGAGAGAGTGAGTAAGTAAGAGAGAGGTGGCCAGAGCTTGACTGCCTCTTTTTGCTTGAAAATCAGTGACTTTGTCTCAATAACAATGCTGTAAACAAATTGTGTTTGCTGCTTACTGCTGCTGCTGCTGCACACTTCCCGAGAGCGAAACGGGAGAGAGTTGTTGCTGGCGAACCGGCGAGCCGGCGAACACGCGTGTCTCTGGCTGCCATTTTTCCAGGCCCAGTCAACAATGCAACCGAAGATCAGCGAGAGAATCGTTTTATTGCCGCATTTATGCCTCGAATACCTGCCGCCTGCCGTTGCTCTCCCTCGCTCCCTCGCTCCCTCGCTTCCTCTGCCTCTCCCTCTATCTCTCTCTCCCTGAAGCTCGATCGGCAGCAATGCATTTATATTGCAGCAATTTCGTATCAATTGAATGTCTTCCACGAATCCGCAGCGGCCATAAAGAGCGTCGCGTGTAGGAAGGACAATCCAGCAAACAAAATCAACAAATGGAAGTGCAAGAACCCTGAAGACGACGACGTGGAAGACTTCTTGGCCGGGCTGTCCATTTTAGTTTATGCCAATTTTTGTTGTATGCGCTTCACCTTCACTTTGAGCATGCCCCTGCTCCTGCCACTCTACCCATTCCCATTCCCATTCCCATTCCCGTTTATTGGCCTCGGCCGGCGTCTTTTTGTCATCGCAATTCACGTGTAAAACATGCCTCAAGTTTTGTCTCTTCAGTTGCTTGGCTCGCGACTCCTTTGCCCAGTTTCCTGTTTACATTGCAGCCTTCAGCCCTCGGTCCGCCGACGTTGATGCCGCACGCGCCTCTAAAGCGGTATCAGCTCATGAGCAAACAAACGGTGAAAACTCTTGACCCATTGTCGAGATTCCGTTGAATTGCAGGCGCACGAATCAACTTCCTGCCACTTGAGCACCCAGTCAAAGCTGCAGCTGACCTGCCTTTCGAGATGCATTAGTTCAGGGAGCTCTCTGCAGCACCTGTAGGCAGGGGGAGTATCAAAAGCTAGTATTACCAATACTAATACTAATACTAATAATGGTCATCTTGTTTGACTTAATTGGGTTGAAGAGAAATGAATGAGAAGAACTGCAAGTGTTTAAGTGATAAGCAAGGATAGTAATCAATGTTACTATCTCTTTCTCCCTCTCTATCTCTCTTTCTCTCTCACTCTCTCTCTCTTTCTCACTACTTATCATACACCTTAATACCAGTTGCATTTTAAGCTCTTCACGAACTGTTCAAAAAGGTGAATATTTAAATAAAAAATATATATGTGCAATCACCTCTCTCTCCCCCACACTCCCTCTCTCTCTCTTTTATTATAAACTATCTCTTACTCTATCGTTTTCACTCATTTTCAATTCACATTCAATGCGAATTATCCCTAAAGCATCTCATCCGTATCTATCCGTAAATCATCTTATATATTTGTTATTCCCTAATTGATTAAACTCTAGCTCTCCCTCAACTTACGATTTTGTTATTCTTATCAATTGAATCTCAATCGCATTGTTTCGGTCTGGGACATACGTACAACACGATGATACGCTAACAGCTATTACAAGTAAGTAAACAATATAGGTATAAAAATGTATGTACATATGTATTTATAAGTAAAAATATTAGCTGAGCAGCGAGACAAAAGCATGAAATCAAAGCAAAGACAACTTTCTCTAACTTCAACAGATTTATATATATGTATATATATTATATACACTCCCTCAGCTTTACAATTGCTGTCAGCTAGTCTGGAAACAACAACAATTAGCAACAGAGTCTATAAAATTGAGGACAGATTCTGCGAGGTCATTTACTAATTCCTATCGATCTCTATCAGTCTATCAAGTTGAAGTTCAAGCTAAGCTCTGGGTTTCCGCGTTACATGTTTCTGCACTTCACATAACTGTGAATGGTCCGAGTGAGTGGCCTGATAAGCTATCGGCATGCATCAAGTATCTGGGATCTATTATTGCCACATGCACTTCGCATACGTCAGCAACTGTGCAGCTGTTGGAGGAGGCATTGTCATTCATTACCTGGCAATTTCACCTGCCCAGACAGCAGTTGAAGCCAATTCAAGTAGCGTGTGTTTAGCCCCCCATCTGGAGTGGGCTGGCAGGAAATCGCCGCTCCAAGCGCACTGTGAGCTGCAGCCAGTGCACTCGAGTCGAGTCATGCACTTGGCACAATCTATTGACACTCGGCACTCAGCAACTGGCCAGCTACCCGTCGTTGGTGATTCCATGGCAGCGGGAGATGCGAATCTAGCACCTAATCTCAGTTCTGTTTGACCTCCTCCCAGATATTAATTAGAGCTGTGCGCCCCACGTTCTGCTCTGGGCAGCAAGGCAGCTGGACAGCTGGTCAGCTGGGCAGTTGCTCTGCCTGCTGTGCACACATGTTGGCTTTATGGCCCCTGCTAATCCTGGGCATCGATGTGTCTGGGCGTTTGGAGCTGCCAGGCGACAATCGAGCAAACAGCCAGACAAATGAGCAAACAAATGGCCAGCGTATGTGTCCTTAAACGAACGAAATTGGATCATAACAGCAAAATGTCGAAATCTGCACAAACAGCGCTCTAATTAAGTCCTGCAGCGAGGCACATTAAGGACACAAAGGCTGGCCATGAGCCCATAGAATAACAACTAAAATGGGCGTCCATTAAAATTATACAAACTCTCTATCTCTCACTCTCTATCTCTCACTCACTCTCTCTGTCTCTCTCTCTCTCTCACTCACTCTTTCATTCTGTCTCTGTTCATGACATCAGTGAGTCAGCGTGGAGTGGGGTCATCAAAGTCATCGTCTGCGAGTTGGGAAATCTGTCGATAATAATGAAATCACGCAGAAATATTAATTTCGGGCATGTATAGATTACACGATTGCTGAGATTGGAACCCAGCCCATAAAAACTGACGCCAGACGATGGGCGATGGAAAATATATAATTCTTATAGCACGTCGAGACGATTTCTACATTTTATATTTGCAGTCTTCATAAATATATAACATCTGGCAAAGTGTCGTAAAGGGTTTTTCGAGAACAGAGCATTATTTATCTAAATAACTTTGATTTATTTTTATTTTTATTTTAATTATTTATTTTTTTTTTTTTTTTAGACTCACGGTCACAGTAATCTTGTTAGCGTTTTAGGTTCTACTGGAAAGAAAAACTCTCATTAAAAAAAAAATGCAACTGATATCATTTAAAAGTCAGGCCCCCTTAATACTAGAGTACCACTTGAAAAAACACAGAATGATAGCCAAAGTATAATCTTCCGGTATTTTAGAAGTAAAATAAATATAAAAAAAAAAAAAAAAAAAAAAAAAAAAACAAAACCTTCTAAAACCTTACATATAATCAATATGCAATATTTAATATGTATTATATATTGTCTGAAAGGTTGTTACCTTTCAGGAAGCGAACCAATAAATATGTAATTTATATGAAATATAAAAAATGCAATTGACAAATAATCCTGATAGCAATTTAAAATATGAAAATTTTAGCAATTGTATTACTACGCAGCATTTCTAGCAAGAGAAGAGAAAACAATTATCATAAAGACTTATGCTACCTATAACTAAAATATATAAATACATTAAATATACTTTTCCCATAAGACTCACCAAATTTGATATAAACCCATAGAAAAAATACCCTTTATAATCTCATACAAAACTAAGAATCTGCAGAATAGTAAAATACCAGCAAGATAAACCACATATTAAAGCGGATTCTCAAATTTTAGCCATATCAATATACTTATTCATTTCTAAAAAAAAAAAAATATTTCAGCAAAGTTTAAACAGAGTTTCGTTTAATATTCGAATTCTGAGAATATAGGGCAATCTGAAATTCATATAAATTTCGAAAATGTTTTTTTTTTTTTCGGTTTTCGATACATGCACATATGGTAAGTGTGGTTTGTATTTTTTTCGGAGATGATATCGGGGCCAATCTGTAAGTGTGTTTATTGGGGGCGTCATTGAAACTACCGCGCGCTAGCTGGCAGGCAGTATAATGCTTCCCATGGGCATCCACTTATCGCCTCTGAGGCACTCTGGCGCTGAGCTCACTTGTAATTGCTCTGTTTGTTCAAATACACTGTTCCTGCACTCCTTGCGTCTTCTGCTGCTTATTATTTTTTATCGTTAAAAAACACTTACGAGCATTGTTAACGGTTGGCGTTTATTTCTCTCTCACTTTTTTTTTTGTTGTTTTTGGACTCTTATCGTCTAATGTGGCCCAATCGGCGCACTTGTTGTGTTGCCCTGGGAAGTGGGTCGTTGACAACGCCCACAATCACAATCACAGCCAGTCACACACACACGCTTACACACACAGACGTAATTGTAGCCACCCTTTACACATTTGCAGGCGCCTAAAGAGCTGTCGTTCCATGTCCATGTCTCGAGGCAGCCAAATGGATTTCCCTCTGCCTGTGCACTGGCTCTAACAGTTCCTAATCTTGTGGCCAGCCCTGTTCTCCTATCTCTCTCACCCTCTCGCTCTCTCTTATACTCTTGGTGCGCTGCACTTGTCGCAGCTGCTGCAGCTGCAGCTGCCAGTCGAATTGCATTTCGTCTGCCAATTACAATTATTAACATTGCCTCTTCGTCGCATCGCTTGCGGTTTCAATTAACGCTTCCTACTGTCCATTATCTATTGTTTTCGGGGCCTTTTCCAATTCAATTGTGCATCGAATATCTCAAGGCTTTGCCAGCGTTAAGTGCTCGATAATATATTAAGAGGCCAATTACTGAAATGAAAATGAATCGAACTTATGAGTGATTCCAATGGGGATTGAAAATTTGATTCAGATTGTATTTGTCATATATTTAAAGATACTTTTAGTTTGTTATGAGACTTTGACGTCCTGAAGTTTCCAAGAATAAAGTTAAAATAAAAGCCTTACATTTTCCAGAAACTTCTAAAAGCTTATGTAATTACTAAAATAAATATTTGTATATTTATATTTTTAAATGGATGTATTTCTCAACAACAAATGTAACTAAATGTGAATGTAAATGTTAAACAGTTAAATATAATTTAGTGTCTATATACATATAAGCATATATATAATTTCTATAAATTTGTAAGACAATTTAATATATTTATGCGTATATTTTGAAAACCTTAACTGCTTTGCTAGCGCCATCTATAGCTCGAGTCAAAAAGATTACCGCCATACAAAGTATTTACGAATGCGCACAAAAGTATGCTACATAAAAATTCACACTTTCTGCTGTGGACAAGCGGTGTAAAAAAGCAATTGACATTGTCAGGGCTGGAGCACTCATTTGAAAAAAGAGAAACCGCTCTCAAATGTATGAAATTGTTGTGCGATCGATAATAGCTCGACCAGTGCTGACATACGTCACAAACATGCAATTGCTGACAAGTACAAGTGCAGCGGTTTAATCATGCAATCAGCCACAAAGTGACAAACAAACACAACAAATTAATAAACGTTAACAACAATAGTAACAGCCGCAGTCGAGCGCGCTATCAAGCGATGCGTTACGTAATCATGGAACCCACGAATAAAGCGTCATTTGTTCGACCACCGCGCAGCAATGAAGACGGCAATGGGACGTGCGACGTTAATTGGATTTTGTGTGGCGCTGATTCTAAGTGGGGCAAGTGCGGGCAATGTGCTCGCCATATTCCCGCACTTTGGCTACAGCCACTTTAAGGTGGTGCTACCCATTCTCAACGAGCTGTCGCAGCGGGGTCACCGGCTGACGGTCATTTCGTATGTGCGACATCCCCAGGCAGCGCAGCTGCCAGATTACGAAGAGCTGCTGATTTCCGATGCAAACGAGGATCAGTCGAATACCACAATCAACGTGGTGCCGCTGTCGGAGCACACGCCCACACGCTCGCTGTGGGAGCTCCTGAAGGAGTACTACGAGCTCTATACCAACGGGCAGATCTCCTGTGAGAGCCTCTTCCAGAGTGGCCATGTTGAGACTATCTTGGAGCGCCATAAACAGCAGCCCTACGATCTGCTGCTCACGGAGTACTTCAGCAGGGACTGCCAATTGGCAGTTGCGCAGCTGCTGAAGCTGCCCATCATTGGGATTAGCACTTGTGCATTGATGCCCTACTACTACGACCGCATCGATCTGCCCGACACGCCGTCCTATGTCCAGTCCGAGTTCGTCGGCTTCCCCCGACCTCTGCAGTGGCGGGATCGTCTCCTGAACTTCTTCCAAGCCAAGCTGCTGAAGCTCATCTACAGGCTGCACACGAATCGGGCGGACAATGCGCTGATCAAGCGCTATCTCGACATCGATGTGGATGTGGATGCCGTGGCTCGTGCCCAGACGGCATTCATCCTGGGAAACCAGCATTACTCGCACATGGGCAGTCGCCCGCGCACTCAGCAATTCCTGGAGGTGGGCGGCGTGCACATCACGACCAAAGACGAGCAGCAGCTGAGCCCGCACATTGTTCAGTTCCTAGAGCAGTCCAAGCAGGGCGTCATCTTCATCAGCTGGGGCTCCATGGTGCGCGCCTCCAGCATCGATGCCGAGAAACTGGACGCGATTATCGAGGTGCTGCAACAGCAGCCCCTAAACGTGATCTGGAAATGGGAATCCTCGGAGCCGCCCAAGCCCCAACTGGATGCCAGCAAGTTTCTATTTGTGAAATGGGCGCCGCAGCTGGCGCTGCTCTGTAAGTCGAATCGCAAAGTCAGTCTTTCTTGAATCAAAGCTAACTTCCACATTGCTTCTAGGCCAGCCGAAGGTGAGTCTATTCTGGGCGCACGCCGGTCTGCTGGGACTCACCGAGGCGCTGCACTGCGGCAAGCCGATGCTCATGACGCCCATCTATGGGGATCAGTTTCTGAATGCCTATGCGGCCCAGGATCGCGGCATCGGCCTCAAGCTGGACTATCTGGACATCAATGTGGAAATGCTGCAGGAGTCGCTGCATGAGCTAAGAAAGCCCAGGTGACCTACCTAGAGATCTATTCTATGATTCTATTTCTCTAACTAATCTTTAATCCCCTGCAGCTACGCCTCACGTGCCGCGCAGCTAGCGCAGATCTTCAATCAGCGCGAGCGCACGCCGCTCGAGACGGCCATTTGGAGCGTGGAGCACGTGATGCAGCATGGCATGTTTGCCGTCGAGCTGCTGCAGTCGCCGGGCATCGAGCTCAACTGGTTTATCTACCACTCACTGGACAGTTTGGCTGTCATCTTGGTGGTGGTGCTGCTGCTGCTCATCGCCAGCTGGCGAGCCCTAACGCGAGGCCAGACGCCGCGGAAGCCGCCCAAGTCCAAGAAGGCCAAAAGGTCTTAGTTCTCAGGGAATTTCAATAGACGTTTTTGTTGTCAATAAAAACAAAGATAATAAATAACTTAGATCTACTCTCTAGTAGCGTCCGCGCTGCATGCAGTCGCGTCTGCACTCCTCGTAGGTCAGGAAATTGTTCTCCGTGGAGGCGCAGCCCGTGTAGTAGAAGCTCTCACAGTTGGCCGTCTCCTTGTTGTAGGCGTAGCGCAACTGCCGACCACGGCACAGGCCCGGCGCCTTCGGCTGTTTGCAAGCTAGAAGCGGGGATCTCAACAGCATTAGCCCGATTCATCGGTTCCGATACGATAGAACTCACCGATCAGCTGCTTGACATGCTCGCGCGTCTGATTCTCCAGATGCAGGCTGAAGGTAACGGTTATATGCAGCAGCAGCAGGAACAGCAGCACGCTCCAGCTAATCATTATCATTCTGGATCTTCTTTACGATCTTCGGATCATTTAAAATATATGCAAATGTATATCATACGCAGTTACCGATCAGCTAAGATCACTTCTACTTATATATATTTTTATTTTTTTAGTATTTATTTATATTTTTGTTGTTTACTGTGTTTTTGGGTATAGACTATTACGTTTGTCTAGAACCGTACGAATCGAACTACCTCCACCGAATGTTCTCCGTACAGTGCTCGAGCTCTAGACTTATTTTTCTCAGCTTTCTCTGCTTTTGAATTTTTCCTAAAGTCTCGTTGCGCACGTAGCCGAGTTTCTGTTTTGAATTCTATTTTGGCTTTTTGCTTTTCGCTTCAATTTGATTTTTTTTTTCTTTCGTATGCACTGGAATTGCATTCAATTCTCATTGAGTCAAAACGTGAGTTTTCGGCCACTTTTCTAAACATCTCGAGTGCTCAAATCCAGGAAGCAAGAGAGGCTTCCGTAAGCTATACGAAGTACTACATAAACTAATGGCAAATCGAGTGAGTGTAATTGAGAATGACAAGCTAATATATATCAAAGATATCGAATATTAAATACGCTTCTAGACTTATTTTTTAACTTATTTTCTTTAATGTACCTAGTATAGAAGGGCTGATATGGGTATATCTAGAACATGGCAAATTGAACGTATACAACATGCTGAACATATTTTGATAAACTATTCGATTTGACATTTTGATAAACTATCAGATCCTAGTTTTTAACTGATAGTTATATTCGTATCTCTCCGCTAGGGGTAAGCCTGCTTAAATGTTCAAGAATGATATGATAGCTTGCATAGAAACAACAGTCAAGTGGCGACAAGAGATGAGATACATCTCAAATAAATAATTCATGTAATTAATGATACAAGAATTCGTATAAATTTATCCATCCCTATTTAATAAGTGCTCAAGCTGCTTCTTTTTATCAAAGGAAAACTTCAAGTGCTACTGCCTTATACAGAACTATATGGCATAGTTCGATTACATCAACTAAATATACTAGAATATTTTACTGATAACATTTAAAAATTTGAGGTTGATCCCTTTTTCAATAATACCCATTATCTACCATATCCATTAAAATGAACAACAATGAACATACTATTTTACATATTTATATAGATATCATTGATTATAAAAATATGACAAAGTCTTAAATGGTTAAAGAATTATTAGCGTATAGATCAACAATTGCTTAGAAATAGTAAAATGATGGATAGATAATTAGACAAGCGGAGAAAAGAGTTACATGTTATGGGCATGAAAGTCTTGATCATATAATTGCATAAAAATCAGCTTACAGACTATAAGGCAATCCGTTTTGTATGTGTGTGTATGTGTTTGTGTATGTATGTGTGTTTTTGCACTTGGTACATTTAACAATTATTTTGTTGATTATAATTTGTTTATAGATAATAGATAGGGGAAAACAATTTACACAATGCACATGGCTGAAATAGAACAATGCCAGGACACAGGAACCTACTTACAATTTCTATCGATATCCAATGAACTAGAAGACATAGATTTCTCAATCTTTACATAATAATAGTTTATAAACTCGTTAATAAATTCATAGTGTTGCACAATGTTATCATGATAATCAGATCTCTGAGACAATGAGCTGCATGCTTAAGCTGCTTGTAGATGGGTGTGTGCAGATAAATATCCTTTTCTTTTTTTTTTTTTTTTTTTTTGCGATTACGATTAGTAGTATGAGGACCCTAGGCGTTGCGACTGCTACTTGGGGGATCAGCTTCCATTATTGTGAAAGCCGGATCCTGACTATTGCTTTGGCACACAAATGGCGCACTAGTTAAGATCCAACCGATCGCTTATCAATAACCCTCTCTCTCCAGTGGCAGCAGATGCGCGACAAAGTTCGTTAGAGAGCAGCGTCAAAAAAAAATTTAAAAAAAAAAACATTCTGTACGTTTTCTACACTAGAAATCCTTGTCCCAGCCACTAACATCATCTGGTGGCGGTCCCTCCGGATCGGGTGGATATTCATCGAAATTGGCTGTGTCCACAACGCTCTTCACGCTGGGCTTTATTGGTGGCTCCAGAGAGCGATTCTGCAGGCCCCACCAATAGAAGCCATCGAACCATCTAAATAAGAAATGAATTTATTAATAAATTTATTATAGATTTAGCTAGTATTTCCCTCCCTCCCCCGCAGTGATGCACTCACTTGTGTTTCTGTATTTCGCTAATGCCGCCGCGTTGATAGCCCAAACGCTCGGCGGGATTATC